ATTACTTATAAGAACATATGGCTGCACTGTCTGACTTGTTGAGCTAAGGTTAAAAGGAATAACTTCACTAATTCCTAACCTCAGTTTTCTCATATGGGCATGTAGTCCGAAGACTCAAAGTTCAGCCAACTGTTTTTTCTAACTGGTCAGGGCTACAAAAATAATTTGACTTCATAGCCCTGAGAAAGAGTTACAAGTTTCCTTTTTATGGTTGCACACAAGGCAGAGAGTGCATTTTGAGATTTAAGGCACTTTGTCTTGAGAGTGTTGATTGAGTTGATACTAAATGATATACAGTACCCTGAGCCCAAACTGAAAAATTTATGACACACACCTCTCAGTAAACACAATGCTCTCTGAGTCTGAGAAAGCCAGGTATTGTTGATCACAGAATGTACGATTAAAATTATTATACACTCAGAAGTATAGGTTATAGTACACAATTTCTTTATTTTCTTAGACTTCTCAGTACTTTAGGTTTATAACTCCTTTACAATTCTTTATAAGATTACCTCTCTAGATAACAAAATGATTGATTCTCTCTTTACTACCTCAATTTTCGGCTTGCCAATGAAATAGCTGGTTATTTAGATATATTTCATGAGTTGTCAGGATGACTCTGTTTTTAACCATTTACTTAAAAAAATGGTTTGTGACCTTCTGTGTGACTCTTGTATTGCCTGGAAGATTTTGTTGGTTATACATAGCTGTGGAGCACAAAGGGAAGTGGGGACATCATGAGAGAATAAAGAAAGGAAACATCAGGAAAGTGTATGAGTGTATTTTCCCTCACCCCTGGGATAGATAAATCAGTTTGTGCTATGCCGTGGACTTTCCTTTTGAGCCCTGTCTGTGGCCTGAACGCTGGTTCTTCTGGGCTGTATTATCCAGGCTGTGTTACTTATGTTCAGGTCCAGCTCCATTTTTAGTTAATGTTCATCAGTAGGAGAAAATAAGGGACCAGCTTCATTCTTTTCACTAGGTTTTTTTTGTTTGTTTGTTTGGTGGTTCTTTGGTTGCTTTTTTTTTTTCTTTCTTGTGGGGACTAAACACATGCTACACCTCTAGCCCTTGTTTTTTATTAAGATCAGGTCTTGCTATGTAGTACAAGCTGGTTTTGAACTTGCAATGAAGCTAAGGCTATCCTCAAATTTCTTATCCTCGTGCCTCCTGTAATCCTCCTAGGTCCTGGGTTCACACGTCGCCACTGTGTTCTCCTGGTATCCTCTCTCTCTACCTTCTCCATTTAACTCCCCAGTAGCTTCTCTGTGTTGACATCTGTGTCTTTTAATCTAGCTGTTGCATGCATTTTTAAAAATATTGTTAGTCTGGTTAAATCTCATTTATGTTTAGTGTATTTGTGTCTTGAGACTTAAATGGTTATTTTTCCTTGTATGCATCTTATAGTTGGAGTTTGCTTTTTCATCCAATCTAGCAATGTTTGTCTAATTTTAAAGGCAATGTTTTCAGTGGTCACAGTAAGTCCCATGCACTCGTCATCTGTTTCCCACAGCGGTAACATTTTGTGTGGCTTCAGTACTAGGGTTTGCAATTATAATTCACATTTCACCTGTCTTCTGCTCTGGCTAGTGTGTATGTATGTGCCATCATGTGCAGATTCATGTGATCCCTGCTGCAGTGAGGACTGTGTTCGGTTCCATCAGTGTGGTTTGGCTCTCTTCTGTTACCTAGTTAAAGTCACAGCCCCTTCTCTTTCACCTTTTCCTTTCCTTGGAACCCCCATCTCTGTAGTCCTGTCATTTGAGACTATTACAGACAGTGGTGCTCATGCATAATATGTCTCAGGACTTGTAATAGATACCTGAGACTATAGATTGTATCATCTCCAAACAGACAGTTTTGCGAGCACATATATACTTGGAAGGAGAGAACTGACTCTGCTGTATTGTCCTCTGCTCTTTACATGTGTGCCATAACACATGGGTGCCCACTTCCATATCATACATTCCATCATCATCCATGAAATCTAACTTGTAACTTAAGCCCAGTAATAATAGCATTTAATGAGACAGCATGATTTTAGGAACATACTATAATAAAAGTGCATGAATGCAGTCTCTTCCTTTCTCTCAAATGTCTTACTATATACAATACTCTTCTTGTGGTGACAGCACTGCAATACATAGGCAATGAGAAGAAGGGTGGTGGTTCTGGATGTAGCATTAGGCCACTACGTATGGGTTACCTGGAATACACACACGAGATACACAACAGCTACTGCTAAGTGCCAATGGGTGGACTATGTCTAAGATTGGATATGCTAAGCAAACACAGGATCCTGAGCAGGGTGGACAGAGATGACAAGAGCTTGTCTTCTCCTTAGAATGTCCAGTTTCTGTTCAAAACCTTTGAATTGTTCATTTCTGGTAAGTTTCTGTTAATATTTTTAGACCAGGGTTGATTTGGTTTAAACTAAAGATGTCTATCTTGCAAAACGCTTACAAACTATGACTCAACCAAATTGTACCCACAAAAGACTTTTGAGACTTTTATTGGAACATAACTGTGCTCCTTCATTTACTCACTTGGGGACCCTCTTTTATTACAAAGGCAGAATTGAGTAGTGATAGCGTACAAATGGCCCTCAAACCCAAAGGTACTTACTTGTTGACCCTTTGCAAAAATGGTTTTGATTGTACTGCTTTTTTTTTCTATTTGTTCTTATTTGGTTTCTGTTTCTTTAGTTTCTTTGTGTAGCTGTGGAATCTGTCCTGGAATTCAATTTGTAGACCAGGCTGGCCTTGAACTCACAAAGATCCACCTGCCTCTGCCTCCCGAGTGTGCCACCACTGCCCGGCTTGGTTTCTGTTTGTTATGATTGGGTTCATGATGTAGCTTGAACTCAGGATAGTCATGTTGCGTCAGTCTCCCAAGTGCTGAGATTGTAGGTGTGCACCACCATGCCAGGCTCTAAAGAGTTGCAAGGCGGGGGGGAGGTGGAGAGCTGGGTTGGTAAGATGTTTGTTGTACAAGCATGACCTGAGCTCCCTTCCTCAGCACCCATGTAAAAACCAGGTGCCAAGGATGGAGACAGCCTAGTTAACACTGTGACCCTCAGGTTCTTTGAGAGTCCTGCCTCAGAAATAAAGGCATTAAAATGCCTGATGTAGACCTCCAGTCTGCACACACAGAATACTTCACCTTCACACACGTACACAAAACGTTGTTAAGGTTGTTGATACCTACTAGGATATTTGCAAATGCTTCCCTCGGGTAAAATTTTAACGTCAACAAAGTTTCTGTGGTAGTTTGGTGTGAACAAAACACCTGAGAAAATCAACTTTAAGGAAGAAATATTTATTTTGGCTCATAGCCCAGAGATTTCAGTCTGTACTTGTTCTGTCCAGGAGCCTTTGGGTCTGTGATGAGATAAGAGCACCATGGTGAAGTGTATATAGAGGGAACTGCTCACTTTACGTTGCTCAGGAAACAGGGAAGGGAAGTGACCGGGATTCTAGTAGCCCAGCATCATATTCTGGGACCTGCTCTCATTAATATGACTATCCTGCTATGTTCCACCCCTTTCAAAAGGTTTCACCACCTCCCAGTAGTATCACAAGTCTGTCAGCATGACCATGTAACACATGTACTGTTGGGTGGCTTTTGAGATCCAAACTATAGATGTGCTTATTGTGTATAACAAATTACAGAAACCTAATGACTTAAAATAACACACTTCTTATAGCACAGTTTCTGTGGATCATCAGAAGTCTGTCCTTAGCTGTATTAAAAGTGGTTGGACTGCATTCTCACATCTCAGCCTTGGGAAAGTCTTGCTTGTAGAATTTATTTCTTCTTAGCTCTGTGGCTGAGGGTCCTAGGTTTTTACTGTCAAGCAGAGGCCTCCCTCAGGTCCTAGGGGCTGCTTTACATGGCAACTCCATGGATTGCAGGAGAGACTTTCTCTTTAGTCTCCTTATACAGTTCTATGTACCTAATGTAATGAAGAATATGACACCCATCACCTTTCCCCATTCTGTAGCTTAGAGGTTGGTTACAGTTCTTACAGGCAAAGTGATCACAGACAGATGTGACCTGTTAGGGATCACCATCATGTTGTGTCAGCCACAGAAACTTTAAGAACAGATTAGTAACTACAGTACAGAATTTACATCACCCATTTTGTTTCCTGACAAAAGCTGAGAGAAGAGATTAACAGTAAAAGAACCTCATAAAAGTAACATGCTGGTTCAGGCATTTATAATTTTTTAAAAGCCACATACTATCCCAAGATTCCATTCTAACACAAACATCTGCAGCTTTGTTTACAGTTTTGTAAGTGCTCCTGAAGTCTACTGCAGCTCTGCAACCCTCAGGATAGTCCTGCTTACAGATAGAGAAACCAAGGGCCAAGAAAACCTTCAAAACAGATCACAGCCAGTAAAAATCCCTTCATTTCTATTAGGCAGATTTGTAGCATATATCTATTAGTGATATGAATAGTCATCAAATATGTTTATTAATGAAGTAAATGTGATATTTTTGTAAATAATAAATTGTATATGGAAATGCAGATACAATGAGGTCTGTACATTGCAGTTCAGCTGTTCCTGTTTCTGTCTGTATATCTTTGACTCTTGAACTATTCCTGTAAATGATGTACCCATTTCCCAGAAGAGATAGCTGACTTAAGCAGTTTCTAAGTGGTGGAATCAGTCTGACGTAGACTCTAAGAACCGAATTCATTAAAAATAGCCTTTGAATTTGCTTTGAGTCCTCAGAGTTTCTAAATTTAAACTTTTTAGTTCATTTCACAGCTTCTGTTTTTGAAGCCAGTGCATTCTGTGTTTCAAATGTTATGTCCTTTGCTTTGTATTGAATTTTAAAAGCGTTCTTTCACTGACGTAGTTAGACGAAGTGAGTCATGTGACATCAAGAATAATGCTGCAGGATTTCCAGTGTAACCATGGTCCCATGTGTGGTCGCAATTATCGTATTGATAAATTATAATCGTGATAACACCTTTTAGTTTATCGTTGCGTTTTTTTTTTAACATTTCAGCAAACTGTACAATGACAACTGAAGGAATTTTGAAGGATGTCTAAAGTTTAGAGGCTACATCTGTCTTGTCTTCTCACCCTTAAAAAAAAAAAAAGAATAAATGGGATGTTTCAGAAGAGAGCTATATAAAGAGTGTTGCAAATGGCTTCAGAATCTACCAATGGGAAACAAGCTAGGAGTCATGTGACAAAGGGGAGGCGGCAGCATCAGCACCAGCCCGCAAGGAGCAGGTCCTCTGTCAGCGAGTGCGAGGGCGATGACTCCTTCATCTTCGAAGCCAACGAAGCCTGGAAAGACTTTCACAGCTCTCTCCTTCGGTTCTATGAAAATGGGGAACTCTGCGACGTCACACTAAAGGTGGGACTGCTTTTTTTTTCCCTCAACTTTGGTGGAGTATGGAAAATGAGAGTTTCTGAACTTACATAAAAATTTTAGGTGTCACATTTATTTGTTATGTTAGGAATGACTTTAATTTCAGTTCTTTGTGAATCATTGTCTCCTGTGAAGCCCAGTCATGACCTTCCTGCCTCGTATTTCCTTAGTATCCGATTACAGGCATGTGTGGCACAGTGCCTGGAAATAGACACATTGTTAGGCTAATTTAGTGTTATTCTTTTTTAATTGGAACAATTTCCATATAATATATTCTGACCACATTCCCTCCCCCCACTTTTGCCAGATTCTCCACCACTCCCCACCTCTCTCTCTCTCTCTCTCTCTCTCTCTCTCTCTCTCTTTCTCTCTCTCTCTCACTCTCTCTCAAATGAAAAGGCAAACAAAACTATAAACAACCTAGGAGGGGAGGCATAAGAAACACACACACAAACCTCTCAAAATCAGAAATCATAATATACAAGCAAAACACTAGTACAAAAAAAACATGAAAAAAAAATTCTACAAAAACACCAGTGAGATCAGTTTGTGTTAGCCATGTACTGCTGGGCATGGAACCTGCCCTTAGTGTGTGTGATTAACATACCCAGTAAGACTCCATTGGAGAAAACTGATTTTTTCCTTTGGAAGTAGTTGTCAGGTGGAGATAGCTTCTTGGATAGGGGTGGAAGCCTGTGTCCACTTCCCCATCTCAGCACCGGGACTCCATCTCTCTTGAACCTGTGTGGGCCCTGTGCATGCTGCCACAGTCATTGTCAGTTCATATGTTTGTCAGCCCTGTTGTGTCTGGAAGACATGATGCCCTTGAGTCTTCCATCCCCACTGGCTCTTAAAACCTTTCTGCCTCCTCTTCCACATAGCTCCCTGGGCCCTGAGGTGAGGGGTTTGATGAAGATATCTCATTTAGAACCAAGTGCTCCAAAGTCTCTCACTCTCTGCATATTGTCCAGCGTGGGTCTCTGTGTTAATTCCCATCTGCAGGAGAGAAGTGTCTCTGATGGCTGAGTGAGATACTGATCTGTGGGTGCAGTAGAATGTCATTAGGAGTCAGTTTATTGCTGTGTTCCTTTAGCACAACAGTGGTGTTTGGTTTTCCCCTAGACCCATGATCTACTCAGTTTCAGGCTCTTGTCCACCTAAGCAGTGCCAGCATGGGTACCATCTCATGGAGTTGGCCTTAATTCCAATCAGAGACTTGTTGGTTACTACCACAGTGTTTGTGCCAATATTTCACTAGCATATCTTACAGGCAGGTTGTAGACCACAAGGTTTGTAGCTAAGCTGGTGTTTCCCTTTTTCCTTTGATAGTGTGCAGAGTACCATGAACATTAGTCAGTAGGAGTGAAGCCTCTGGTTAGGCACCAGCTCAACTCCTCTATGTTCAATGAGAGATAGGTAAGTCTTCTCTTTAGCAATCAGACCTTGCCCTCAATTTGCAGAGAACAAGCAAGTGCTTTGGCAATAGCCTGAGATGTTTGGGAGTTCCTGGAAGGCCCCTTGGGCCAACGGTTCAACTAGATGTAACCTATCCCTGACACTGGAGGTTTCACTTGGCTGTGAGAGATGTCTAGTTGAAACTTTGTCTCTGGTTATTTGGTGACTCCATTTAGATTTCTTTGGTGTGTGTGTGTGTGTGTGTATTATGTATATGTATATATTTGGGAAACTTATACAGTAGTAAGTTTTCATAAGACCCCATAAATGGCCCTTAATGTTACTTGTCCCTCTGCATATTTCTCCTCTTATTCCTCTCATCTATCCCCCTCTCCATTTAATCAGTCCACCCCAGTTTTCCCACCCACCCCCGTTTCTCCATAACTGTCTATTTTAGTTCCCCTTGTTAGGGAGATCTCTCCTCTGGAGTCCCTTACCAGGTGCCTAACCACTGTGATTGTATGGATTGTAGCATGCACATCCCAGGCTTAGCAGCTACCATCCACATATAAGATGGGGTCTGGGTTTCCTCAGGGTGATTTTTTTCCTAGCTCCTACCACTTACCTGCGGATTTCATAACTTTTTTTTTTTATTTTATTAGTTCAAATTGGGAACAAGCTTGCTTCAGATGTCAATCCCTGTCTATTGGTGAAAGTGGGGTAGTGAAGTGTCCCACTGTTAGTGTATGATACTCAATATATAATCTTAACTGTAACAGTGTTTCTTTTATGAACTTGGTAACCATTCTTGCATCTGGAGTATAAATGTTTAAAATTTCAATGTCTTCTTGGTGGATTTTTCCTTTGAAGAGTGTGTTTCCTTCCCTATCTCTTCTGATTAGTTTCAGTTTGAAGTCTATTTTGTCAGATATTAAGATGGATATACCAGCTTGGATACTGTGTCCTCTTGCTTGGGTATCTTTCTCTATTCTTTTGTCCTGAGGTGATGTCATCCTTGATGTTAAGGTGTTTCTTAGATGCTCCAGAAAGATGGATGCTGTTTTTGGGTGTAGTCTGTCTCTCTTTATTGGGGAATTGAGATCATTAATATTGAGAGTTATCAGTGAGCAGTGTTTATTGATTTCCTGTTGTTTTGTTGTTGTGTAATGGAGTCTCCTCCTCTTTTGATTGACTGGTCTGGAATTATTTTTCTTGAGTGTGGTTAACCTCTTTGGGTTGTAGTTTTCCTTCTTGCAGCTTCTGTAAATCTGGATTAGTAGCTACTGCTTAGATTTGGTTTTACTCTAGAAGTTTCTTATTCCTCCATCTATTGTGATTGAGTTTTGCTGAGTGTGCATAGTAATCTGGGCTGGCATCTCTGTGTCCTCAGGGTTTTTAGAACATCTGTCCAGGTCTTTCTAGCTTTCAGAGTCTCCATAGAGAAGTCAGGTGTCATTCTGATTCGACTGCCTTTACATGTTACTTGGTCTTTTTCCCACCTGATGAATCACAACCATCTGTCACTCCAGTTTCGGAGGATCCGACATCCTCTTCTGGTCTCAGCAGGCACTGCACACATGTAGTGCACATCCATACAGTCATACAAAACACACATACACATAAAATGAAAATAAACAATTCTTAATATCACACAAAGGGGAAGGTAATAATGGTATTTGAAAGGTTAAATGGGGTGGGGGATAGGGAACAAGGGAGAAAAAGAATACGAAGAAAAATAATTAACACTAAAGCCTTTCTATAAAGATTTAAACAGGGCCTGGTAAATCATTACTTTTGATGCATGCCTCAATGGGAGGATCATTTACTGATGCAAATTGTGTCTGGGACGGGCACCATAAAATCTGCTGGGTTGTTTTCATGGATGAAGCCACTGTTCACTTAAATTCCAGAGCAGACACCTAGGACTTTTCCTAGGTGGGGAGAAAAGTAAGTGTGAGTCTTGGGTTGCTTCTGCCTTGGGGAGCTTGAATTGAGGCAGATGGCACATTAGCATAATTCAGTGGTACCCAGTGGCATTTTTACGGAGCTTAGAGGTTGCTCCATTAGTGATGTCTGAAAGGTGGTTAGAGGGATTTTATGTTAAGAGTACATACATTGCCTGTCTTAGTCAGGGGTACATTTCTATGAAGAGACACCATGACCAAAAATCAAGTTGGGGAGGAAAGGGTTTATTTGGCTTATACTTCCATATCAAAAGTTCATTATCAAAGGAAGTCAGGATAGGAACTCAAACAGGGCAGGAACCTGGAGGCAGGAGCTGATGCAGAAGTCATGGAAGAATGCTGCTTACTGGCTTGCTCCACATGGCTTGCTCAGTTTGTTTTCTTATAGAACCCAGGATGATCATCCCTGGGATGGCACCACCCTACATGGGTTGGGCCCTCCACCACTGGTCACTAATTGAGAAAATGCCTCACAGCTGGATCTCATGAAGGCATTTCCTCAGCTGAGACTCCTTCCTCTGATGACTCTAGCTTGTGTCAAGTTGACCTACAAACCCTTCATTATATTGCCTTAAGGTACGCTGGCCTCAAACTCACAGAAATCTGCCTGCCTCTGCATCCCAAGTGCTGGGATCAAAGGCATGCGCCCAGCAAGGGAATATTTTTAAATATTGTATGTAAGGAAAGCTCTTTTTATTGTTTAGGTGCTAGTGAGTGAACAGAATATTCACATGCTAAGACAAATTCTCCTACCTCTGAGAGGAGCTACTTGAAGGCAGCTGCTTTGTCGAGGAAAGTTGTAGGAAGAATTCCTCTTGAAGAGTCTTTTCATAGCACCCATTTCTGGATTCTGTGCAGATCAGTACAAGTAACACCTCATCAACACTCACATGTATGTAGCTTGAGGATGCACCACTCCCCTTAGTAAAGGTTCAGGCTAATTTTATTAGAAACATGTAATAGAAATAAAGTGGGGAGAGACCCAGTACCAAGTCTTTTAAAACAGATTTGCTTGTTTTGTGTGCATGAGTGTTTTGACTCCATATATGTATGTATGTATACATCCTGGTCCCTATAGAGACCAAAAAAAAGGGTTACAGGAGGCTGTGACCCACTATGTAGGTGCTGGGAACTAAACCCAGGTCCTCTGTAAGAGCAGCAAAACACAGAGAAGGTACTATGTAGGTGCTGGGAACTAAACCCAGGTCCTCTGTAAGAGCAGCAAATGCTTTTACCCACTGAGCCATCTCTCTAGCCTCAGCCCTGTAGCAACTCTTAATGTTACCAGACTATATAGTACTTAAATTATTTAACTTTTAAAAAAAGGAACATTTGAGTTTTTTAAGCCAGTGTTCATAGGCTCTGTTAATGTTTCCCAAGGTAAGAACAGTCATTCTAAAGGATGATGGGGAAGCAATGTGCATTATAGTAACACTGCCCAAAGGAGAGAAAATGAGTTGACTTCCTGTCACTATTGACCTCTGACCTGAAAGCAGCCTGTTTGAATCCCTTGGTGCTGCCATGATATTACCATAGATAGGGTAATTTATAAATAATAGATATTTATTTCTTACAGTTCTGAAGGCAGAGGTATTCAAGCTCAAGACACAGCAGGTTTGGTGTCTGGTGAGGGCTGCTCTCTGTGCTCCTAAAATGGTTGCTGCCTCCTCCTCCAAGGATGAATCTGTGAGGGTTCCTTCATCCCTGTTCATGGAAGGCAGTGGGGAGAAAGGCCTAAGCCAGTCCAGCTACCCTTTTATAAGCCATTGCTTTCATGAGCTCAGAACCTATGTGATTTCTTCATTTCCCAAAGACCCACCACATGGGAGACCATATCTCAGCTATAATTTAGTAAGAAGGAATGATTATGGAGAAGATCCCCTTGATTCCATGCCCAGCAGCCATTCTTAGGTAGTTCAGGTGTCTTCAGAATCTTATGGAAGTCTCCTTTTGTCTATTCAGCTGGTAACTCGGTTTTTTTTTGGGGGGGTGGGGGTTTTGTATGTCTGTTTCATGATTTTTATTTCTACTCTTAAATGCCATCTGGATTATCTCCATTATGTAATTTAAAATGAATCGGAGTGAAGCTAATTATTGTAGGACAGTGGCTAGTTACTGTCATATGCACATTTAGTACAAGTTAAGATTATTTTGAGACTGGTGAATCTGCCTAACCTCTTCCATTTTAGATCTTAACAATAAAACGCTTTTGGGCCACTCAGTGATTTAAATTGGCTGATTTTTAAAAAGTAGTATAATTAATAGAGCAAAATAACCAGAGGTTGAACTGAAAACTTAGAATATAACTTATAAAGGATATAAAAAGAGGTTCAGATACAGGTTTGTTTTTATTATCTTGTTAACAGAAAAATTGTTTTAGAATGACCACATTATTGAAAAGTGTGGCATAGTTAAATAATAAAGGAAAAAAGAACATGAAAAAGGTTCATTTTCAACATGTCAACCAGAACACTGCTGTAAGTGTTGCCAAAATGAAAAGTCACAAGCATTGTTGCTGGGTGTGGAAATTTTTCTGTGTCCTTGACAAGCAGCTTCACAGAATGTAACAATCTATAAAAAGTGGGGGCTCCAAAGGCATCCCCAAATTAAGAAAAAATACCCATCTTTTTCTAAGGTATCATTTGTGTGTAAACTAATAAAAGATTGAAATGACCTAAGTGGCTAATTTCAGATGATCAAATGATGTGTTACAGCTACTGTAAACAAGAGCAGCCAGCCAATGCATAGAAGGGTTGCAAAGGCTCGGTAACTATATTTCAGGAAACTCTCAGTTCTCTTTCTACTTGCATAGAAGTCTTTGAAGCAATGTATTAGCAAGTTGGCAGTTGAACTGGGAGTAAAACCTCTGTGCTTTTCTGTGTTCACTTGGCATTTCAGACAGAGGAAAAAGTCTTGGGAAAAACTGTTTTCAAAGGTCAAATAAGCCAAGAACTGAGAGTAAATAGGGTTATTAGTGTTCTTTTCATCAGTTTTAGTTTATTTCACATCATAATTCAGCAGGGTACTTACTGAACTAGAGTTCTTAGTTTATGATTCTGAGTATGGAGTCATCAGTGAAAGAGAGCCTACATGATGCCCTCTGCCTCCCACATCCTCATAGAGATAGGAAAGTTCTTTACTGGTTTAGAAGCCTTTGTTTTATTGTTTTGATCCATAGTGGCCAGGTTCAGTTTATGTTTCAAATGTTTTAATAGGAAATCATTTCAGTAATGATGTTCTAAATATCTTACTAAAGGTTAAGGTTGACATGAATTTTTTTCTTACTATATTAAATTATTCATATGTTCATTGATCTAACAAAAATGTAAACAAGAAAATTGACTAGTATTGAGGATACACATATATCATATGTATCATATATTTCATTGTTCTTATTTCTGTGGCTAGATTATACAGTTATTTTGTAGTTTGTTTTTTAAATCCAGTTTGAAGCATCTAATTTCTGATTAAATATTTTTTGGTAACTGATAATTATTTTTATGTACCAGGAAGGAAAATGCAGAAATAAACTTTATGGAATATAATGAAATATATGACACCACAGGAAAATTAGTATAGAAAAAGGCCAGTTATTTTGTGTGTATTTCATATATGGTTGTCCAAAGCTCTTTAGACTTTAGGATGGATAGATATTCTAAAAGAGAACATTTGGGGTTGAGAGGGCATGCCCACATTTTAAATTTTTTTTCTCTTAAATCAAGAGATTGAAATAGAGGTGGAGAAGGGTCAAAGTTTTATTATAATCTACGCGAAAATAATTGGTTTTTTGACTTAGTTACTCTTCTGTTGCTGTGAAAAGACATCATACCCAGGCAACTTATAAAAGCAGTCATTTGTGGGGGTTTACAGTACCAGAGGGTGAGTCCATGACCATCGTGTCAGGGAATGTGGTAGCAGGCAGACATAATACTATAACAGTAGCTAAGAGCTTAAATGTTGAGACAACAACCAAGAGGCAAAGAGAAAAAGAGCTAACTGGAAATGGCACAGGCTTTTGAAATCTCAAAGCCCTTCTCTGAAAAGGCCATACTTGCTAATCCTTCCCAAACAGTTCCACTCACTCAGAATCAAGGATTTAGATATATTAGTCTATGGGGGACATTCTCTTGCAAACCATCACTCTGGCTGTTGATTTTTACAGCCTGACTGAGAAATTAGCAATTCTCTGGAAATTACGCTATTATATAATAGAGTGTTGTCAATTTTTACTTTTGTGTCTGGGAATTCAACTCAAGGCCTCACACATGCAAGGCAAACCCACTACCAGCTAACTAAGCTATAAACCCAGCTCTCAGATAATTGTTAAAATAGTTTTAGTCTATCTTAAAAATTTCTATTTCACAAAATGATCCTCATATATGAGATAATATAGAAAACAGTAGTTCAGCATGGTGAACTTGGAATGAAACTTACCTGACTTTAAGAAACTGGCTTAGACTGAAGGCTAAATAGCTGAAGGATTGCATTATTCAAATGGATCCTGAGTCAGAGCTGCAGGGAACTTTGTCCTCATCTCCAGCATGTGCTCTTGGCTGCCTTCTCAGTGTGTGTGTTTGTTGTCTTGAACAGGTTGGCTCAAAGCTGATCTCCTGTCACAAACTGGTGCTGGCTTGTGTGATCCCCTACTTCAGAGCCATGTTTCTTTCTGAAATGGCTGAAGCCAAGCAGGCGCTGATTGAGATCCGAGACTTTGATGGTGATGCCGTGGAGGACTTGGTGAAGTTCGTGTACTCCTCACGGCTCACTTTGACGGTGGACAACGTCCAGCCTCTCCTCTATGCAGCATGTATCCTGCAGGTTGAACTGGTGGCCAGAGCTTGTTGTGAATACATGAAGTTACATTTCCATCCCTCCAACTGCCTGGCAGTACGAGCCTTTGCAGAGAGTCACAACCGAATAGACCTAATGGACATGGCAGACCAGTATGCCTGTGAACACTTTACTGAAGTGGTGGAATGTGAAGACTTTGTGAGTGTGTCACCCCAACACCTCCACAAGCTCCTGTCCTCCAGCGACCTCAACATCGACAGTGAAAAGCAGGTCTACAGTGCTGCTATCAAGTGGCTTCTTGCCAATCCCCAGCATCATTCTAAATGGCTGGATGAGACACTTGCACAGGTAGGGCTGAAGCAGGACTGTGTGGAGACAGGTGACATGGAACCAAATGCACGTTGTGCCATTTCTGTGTGCTGTCCTTTACCTGAAGGGTGTAATGCTCTGGAGTTAACTCTTCATATCCTGTGCAGTTCCTACACTAATGGTAATCTGGATTTGTTGTGCTTGAATGCTTTTTAGTTCCAATATTTAAATTATCCATGTGAAGTAGTAATGGATACTGTGTTAGGAAACAGCTCTGCCTGTAACTTATATCTTACTTTGTAATGAAGTTTCTAAGTTTTGATGAGTCATTTTCCTAGTGAAAGTGTAGTTATTCCTAGCGACTATAGACCTATAGACCCTATTCTGGAAAAGAAAAGAAAAAAAAACACATAGCATCACTGTGAATGCTAAAGTTTATTTTGAAACCTCAGAAATTGTCTGCTGTGACTGTTAAAGTTTTTAACCGTACTGAGGTGCCTTGGATAAGGAGGTAACAAACAGGCCTTCCAGGGTCTGTGCCCTGAGTGTTCCCTTTTCCCTCTCTCTTGACTCCTCTCCTTCTCCCTCCACCTCTTCCTCATTTTGTTCATTTTGTTTACTGAGAAGTGAAATGAAGCTACTTAGAAGAGGAACAGTTTCAGTCACCTACCTTTTTCTGAAATCAATGCTTTGTTAAAACTTTGTAGTTGCTAAAAGTCCTGGGTCAGGGTAGGAATGTAGCTCAGTGAACAGAATGCTTGCCTACCGTGAGTGAAGCCCTGGCCTCTGACCCCCAGCACAGCACAGCACAGTCAGACATGGTGATGTGTGTCTGCCATTGCAGGACTGAGGAGACAGAGGCAGGAGGAGCAGAGTTGGCAAGCATCCTTGGCTACACAGCAACTTTGAGACCAGTCTGGGCTGCATTAAAATCTGACTCAAAATGAAACAGAAAAACAAAACAAACAAACAAAAAAAAACAAAACAACTAAAAACGTTGGGTACTTAATTTCAATTTATTGTTGTTTGGAGACAGAGTCTGTCTAGCTCAGACTAGCCTGGTACTCACTCTGTTGCTTAGACTGACTGTTCCCAAATTCAGAATCCTTTTGTCTCGGCCTCCCATATTCTGGGATTACAGAGATGAGTTCACCATGCTCAGTTATGCTCAAATTTAATGGTGTTACCAAAAGCAAAATTATTTATATTTTTACTCAGGAAGAAGACATATTCAAAGTGTGATTATAATTAGGTTTTTTAAAGCATGTGTAACAATTATTTTTCAACTTCTAACTGCACATAACTGTTCATGATCTTAGGTTCGTCTGCCATTATTGCCGGTTGATTTTCTTATGGGTGTTGTGGCAAAAGAACAGATTGTCAAGCAAAATCTAAAATGTAGAGATCTATTGGATGAAGCAAGGAACTATCACCTTCATTTGAGCAGCAAGCCTGTCCCTGACTTTGAGTACACGGTCCGGACTACCCCAAGGAAGCATACAGCTGGTAAGCAAATTACTCATTTCAGTAACTTTCCAGAAAGCATTTAACATAGCTGAGGGCTACTGGTTATGTATGCCTAAACTTAATAGTCACATAATTCCAGTCTGAGTGTCTTGTGTGTGTGTGTGTGTGTGTGCGTGTGTGTGTGTGTGTGTGTGTGTGTGTGATTTTTGTTTGTTTGTTTGTTTGAGACAGCTTTTCCCTGTGTAGCTTTGGAGCCTGTCCTGGAACTAACTCTTGCAGACTCTGTGATCTTTCAGGTCTCCTCTAACTTGAGCTTCGAGGACTCAAAGTGTTGCCTATAGGGTAAGAGGTAGCATGGGAGGGTAAACCCATTCATTTCTGTAGTCACTCAGCAGACATTGGATGCCTGCTCTTACAGGCTCTGGGATAGGCTGTGGAAATGTAGACATACATCCTGTGTTGGGGGAAATGGTCTGGTGTAGTGAAAAGACAAATGAGCAGATAAATTCAGTAGAGTATTGCAGGTGCTTTGTGTGACCACCAAGTGTAGGCTGCAAAGGGTGGCAGTGGCTACTTTGTTAGGGACAGGAAAAGTCTTAAAGAGAAAAGAAACTTCAGCCTTTGTTTTAAGTAATAAACAGATAAACTTTAGGATACCAGTTAGGGAAATGCTCTTCAGCCCCCTTTACCTCCCCAGAGTGCAGAGCACATGCCAGGCACTGTCTAGTTAGTGTGTAATGCTCACTGTCTCAGTTGTACTCTAGTTTAGGGTGGCAGTTGTCAGCATATGGGTATTTCAATCATGTGTAAGTGATAGGTCCCAAAAGTGCTGTGGGAGCACCACGGATGGGCACTGATGCATGTGTAGGAGCTTGACCTCCTGGTAGGGTTAGACTGGAGGGTGTTTATGCTGTGCTAATGGTGTCATTTTTTTTCTTGCAGTCCTGGGGATGAATCCCAGCCCTCAAATAAGCATTCTAACCCTGAGTGTGTCTCTAGTCTTAGGGCTTTACCTTGAAGGCACTCAGTGCTCCTCAGAGTGTGATGAAAACAGTCACTACAGGAGCCTGTTAGAAATACAGTCCTTAAACCTTTCCACAGATGACTGAACCAGAGATCTGTGCTTTATACCTTCAGTTGATTCCAAGTCACATTAAAGTTGCTTTTCTTCCAGTTGTGGTAAATAGATATAAAATAAGACATCCTAATCATTTTTTTTTCAATTCAGAGCATTTGCTGAACTTTTTAGGGTAGAGCCTATGGGAGAGTATTGAAATAGTCTTTTATCAGATTGTCCTTATTGGGGTTTTATTGCTGTGAAGAGACACCATGACCATGGCAACTCTCATAAAGGAAAACATTTAATTGGGGCTGGCTTACAGTTCAGAGGTTTTTTGGTTTTTGTTTTGTTTTGTTTTGTTTTTTGTTTTTCCTCCCTCTCTTTCCATTTTACTTTCCAGCCTAGATTTATTCTGTTACAGGCCAATTTAGCTTTTATTATCAACTGTGAGAACAACACATATTCACAGCATACAGAAGGATCATTCCCACAGCAGTTTAGCCCATCATGGTCATGTCCAGGAGCATGACAGCATGCAGGCAGACATGGTGCTGGAGGAGTAGCTGAAATTCTACATCACGTGCAGTACAGAGAATGACACTTGGCCTGGCTTGAACATTTGAAAACCCAAAGCCCACCTCCCAGTGATACATTTCCTCTAATAAGGCCACACCTACTCCAACAAGGCCACACCCACTCAAGGCCACACATCCTAATAGTGCCACTTCCTTTTCTAAGCCTATAATAAGTGGTGAGTAGGCAGTGGGTGGACCGTGAAAACAGGAAGAAGGCCTGGATGTCACAGGCACCAAAGAAAGGATATTTCCCAACAGGAAACAAATGTATTTAACTCTGTGTTCAGTAGGGAAACATTAGAGGTGACTGAGGCAGACAGCTCTGCAGTGGCCTTATGTGAATACACTTGCCTTTTTCCCTAAAGCAAAATAAGTTATTGATTCTGACACTTGTAGTGAGTGAGGATATATAAAAAAGGATAGATAGCTGATGAATCATGTTCTTTGAAGAGTTCAAGGAGAGGCGGCAGAAGGAAACTAGATTTCATAACTCATCCTTATAAAAACAAACACTACTCAGAATTTGACTTAATTAGTGAAATTTAATTCACACTAAATAAAAAGAAAGCTTTACACTAAGCTGAATTCCTGGAATCCAGTTGCAGAGAGGGAGGAGTGATGAGCAAAGGGGTCAAGACCAGGCTGGAGAAACCCACAGAAACAGCTGATCTGAACAAGGGGGAGCTCATGGACACCAGACTGACAGCTCAGAAACCAGCATAGGACCGAACTAGGCTCCCTGAACATGGGTGTCAGTTAGGAAACCTGGGCAGTCCATGGGGCCTCTGGTATTTATCCCTATACACAAGGGAGGGCCTAGGCTCTGCTCCAAAAATGATATGACAGACTTTGAAGATCCCCCATGGAAGGCCTCACTCTCCCTGGGGAGCAGAAAGATAATGGGAGGGAGGTTAGTGGGGGGAAGGGAAGGAGGGGAGGGAGAGGGATTGACATGTAAAACAAGCTTGTTTCTAATTTAAATAAAAAATTAAAAAATAAAGCTTTAAAAGCCATGGTACTTATGCATGTCCCCAACACGTGAGAAGAGGAAGTTGAGAAGGGAAGGCAGATGGGCGAAGCCAATAGGAACTTCTCAGTCCTTTTTTCCTCTTTGGGGAATAAAATAGGAATCCATTTAAAGAAAAAAAAAAAGCCATGGTACTAATGTGTGTCTGTGGCTTTGCCTTCAGGTGTACTGTTCTGTGTAGGTGGCCGAGGTGGATCTGGCGACCCCTTCCGAAGTATTGAATGCTATTCTATCAACAAAAACAGTTGGTTCTTTGGACCAGAAATGAATAGTCGAAGGCGACATGTGGGTGTGATCTCTGTGGAAGGTGGGTCTGTTGCTGAAGTTGATGTCGTAAAACCATGGTGCCTTTCTTAATTACATGAGCTTGAGATTTTCTTTTTATAGAAAAACATATTCATTGTGAAGTAATTTATTGATGAAATATTGGAGTGGTGGTCATTTGCTTGCCTCTTTCCACAAATGCTTGGCATGTTGGTGTGGAAATTAGCATATTGGTACATAAACTAGCAAATCGGTATATAAATTAGCATGTTAGTATATAAATTTAAAAATAAGTAGCTGGAAAGCCAAATTCGTATGGCTGGGCATGGTGGCACATGCTTATAATCCTTAGTTCTACATCAGTTTCGTTTTTTATTAAGAGACAGTCCCTTGTGTCCTGGAACTCACTATGTACCTGAGGCTGACCTTGAGCTTCTGACTCTCCTGCTTCTACCTCATGGGCTGGGATCACAGGTGTGTACCAGCACATCTAGTTTACACAGTGCTGGGAGCTGTCCCAGAGCAAGAACTCTGCCAACGGAGCTGCATTCCCAGCTCCTATGTTATTTTTTATATATATTTAAGAGATTTATTTATTTATTCAGTTTCCTGGGGCAGGATTTCTCTGTGTAGCCCTGGCTGTCCTAGAACCCACTCTGTAGATCAGACTGACCTCGAAGTCATAGAGATCTTCCTGCCTCTGCCTCCCGAGTTCTGGGGTTAAAGGTGTGCATCACTACTGCCCAGCTATTTTTATTTTGTGTATGACTATCTACCTGCATTGTGGATGTGCACCATGTGTATACCTAGTGCAAGAAGAGGCCAGAAGACAGCATCAGATTTCACTGAAACTGGAGTTCCGAACAGTTTTGAGCCTCAGTGTGGTGGTGTTGGCTTGTCTGCAAGAGCACCAAGCACTCTTAACTGCTGAGCTATCCCCTAGCCAGTGTTTTCTGAAAAATTTGTCCTCTTATAGAATGAGGAAAAGGTGATTCTTAAAATCTTTCTGATAATTTTTCTATGGTTCTTCAATTAATTAATTTTTAGTAATGATTTAAAATCTAGTTTCCATAACTATACAGTGCAGGAAGACACTGAGGCTTGTCCTGAGGCTATAGCTCGGTGATAGACCACGGCCTTCTCACTTTCTGTATGCTTTTTGTTTTTCACTAAGATAAAAGGTGATTATTTTGTATTTTCCTTATGTTACTAGCCTTTTTCCATTTTATTGACCTGTTTTGAAGGCAAAATTAATGATTTCATTTGCTATTTAATAAAAATCGATGAAACCCAAGAATGGCATTTGAAAGCATTATAGCGTTTCCCACAGGGCATGTTTAGTGATAGCTTACACTGATTTTCACTTCCTCATGATGACACCAATTCAATGTTGAACAGAAAATAATGTTAAAAGTTAATTTATTGCCATACGGTGGTGGCACACACCTTTAATCCCAGCACTCAGGAGGCAGAGGCAGGCAGATCTCTGTGAGCTTGAAACCAGGCTGGTCTACAAGAGCTCCAAAGCCATAGAGAAACCCTGTCTGAAAAAAAAAAAGTTACTTTATCATGACATTCTAGTTATGTATTGTTTACTTATAAATGACATTGGTATCACTTGGGAATCAAATAAATACTTCTTTATTTGACAGGTAAAGTGTATGCAGTGGGTGGGCATGATGGCAATGAACACTTAGGAAGCATGGAGATGTTTGATCCTCTCACTAATAAGTGGATGATGAAGGCATCAATGAACACCAAGAGGTAGGTCACCATGGGGATTCCTAGTGAATTGATAATGTTAAGTTAAAAAAACAACTGAAAAATCGTATTTTGAAGCTTTTTCTATTTTTAGAAACTTATTCTTCTCAAACCCAGTGAAAGCATCCAAAGCAATGCTTTGTCACAAGTTTTTGGATTTAAGAATGGAATCATAGGGGGCTGGAGAGATGACTCAGTGGCTAAGAGCACTGGCTGCTCTTCCAGAGGACCTGGGTTCAATTCCCAGTACCCACATGGTGGCTCACATCTTTCTGTAACTCTAGTTCTAGTGGATCCGACACCCTCACACAGACATACACAGAGGCAAAACTCCAATGCACATAGAATAAATAAATCTTTTTTAAAAAATGAATGGAGTCATAAGGATATGGAGAGATGGCTCAGCAGTTAAGATGTGGGCTGTTCTTCCCGAGGTTTTGAGTTCTGTTTGCAGCACCCACACTGAGCAGCTCACAACCGTTCACACACTTTGAAATTGGTTTGAATGGACTTGACTTTTAGTTCCTGTTATGGCAGCCATGGTCTTCTGTAGGAAGCCTTGCTGCTCTTTTCAATACTTTGTATTTGAAATGACTTTAGTTTTTTTTTTTTTTTCCAGAAAAGTTGCAAATAGGTGGCATTCCTTTTTGTTGTTGTTGGTTTGTTTTGTTTAATTTTATTTAAAATTCTTTTTGCATTCAAAAAGAATTTTTTTGGCTGAGGAGAAGGGAGGTGCATGTCACGCCTGCACCAGGGGTGCACATTTGGAGGTCAGGGAAAGCTCACAGGAGTCGGTTCTCCTTCCATCATGGGTCAGACTCAGGTCATCAAGCCCAGTGGCAAGTGCCTTTATCTGCCCAAGCCACCTCCACAGCCCTTGGTGTTTTGCTTGGTTGTGTTGTGTCAAGACAGGATCTCATGTCATGCAGACAGTCCTCACCCTTGCTATGCAAGAAAATGTAGAGTTATAGGTATCAGGTATTCTCAGCTGAAGATCACATTACCTCCTCTGCCAGACAGTTTACTGCTAGTATCTCACAGGAATTGGTCAGGGATGCTGCTGAACACCCTCCAATGCTGGAGGGCAGCCCTCTAGAGCAAAGGGTTTCCTGGCTTGAAGTTCCAGTCATGCCAATGTATATCCATGTATCCTGTACCTTAACATCTCACAGCATGTCAGAGATAAGCATTGATGTGATGCTGTCAGCTTTTGCCAATTTCCCAATGCAGTGTGTGTGTGCATGCATGCAATCAAGTGCCAACTGAAGCCAGAGAGTGCATTAGATCCTCTGGAGCTAGAGTTACAGTTGTCTGTGAGCAGGTTAACAGGACTGGCAGAAATCAAACTCCAGTCCTCCACAGGAGCAGCAAGTGCCTTTGACCACTGAGCCATCCCTTCAGCCCCTCCTCATACATTCTTAGGTTTTTAATTTATTTCACATACCTCCTTTATTAGCTGGTAGTTTGATACTGTATAAATAGAAATTGAAACACATATTTTTATCTTGTTCCTGACCTTAATCAAAGTGCATGTAGTGTTTCTCTTAAATATGATACTAACTAGGACTAAGGCTTATTATTATCTTAACAAAATAGTTCTCTCAATTTCTGTTTTCATTGCTGATTTTAAGATATATTAAGTTCCTATCTATAATAAATTGAATTATATTTTGATTGTCTGAAGGGGAAATTATTTACATGATTCAGTAATTAAGCCTCTTGTAAATTTTTATTAATAATTTGAATTGTAACTTCGAACATCCTGAGATGAAAGAGCAACTAAAATCATGTCACCAAAACAGGATTCAGAAAGTCAGTAGGCTTGGGGACATAGCTCTGTGACACAGTGCTTACTTAATGTGCTTGTGGTCCTGAGTGGAATTCCCCAGCACCACAAAGTGACAGCCAGCAGCAGCAAAACCAAGCAGACAAAGTATTCTGTAGACAAATGTCTCTAAAAAGTGTCAAATGAGGGTAGATATTAAACCTAAATTATGTCCGTTATAACAGGACTGTGAGGTGGGAGATTGGGTGTGTGGATGTTTTGTGCAGAGTAAAGTAGTTGGCTTGTGCAAGTGTGAGACATAGACCATTCACACTACAGTGTCCTACATTAAAGGGATGAGTTAGTGTTCACACTACAGTGTCCTACATTAAAGGGATGGGATAGAGTGTTCACACTACAGTGTCCTACATTAAAGGGATGGGATAGAGTGTTCACACTACAGTGTCCTACATTAAAGGGATGGGATAGAGTGTTCACACTACAGTGTCCTACATTAAAGCGGTAGGATAGAGTGTTAACAGAATAGTTGCCCACATTCAGAGAACAGAAGGGGGTTCAGGGGGGATTACAGTGATACTGCTGTTTATGTTGTACTCTCCATATGATGAGAGCAGTGCTGTTCTTTATCCTGGTTTCTATCAACTTTTAAACATTTACTTTAGGTGCATGTTTTGCATTTAATGTAATATGTATATACAGAAAAATATGTTTATAATTTGAAAATAAAGTGTATCCAGGGATGCACAAAAAGTTGAATGATGTAAACATAGGGATAATCGCCTAGGCTACATTAAGGAAAGACTAACCAATTAGGAATACAGCCAAGAACATGCTGTGTGACAGTAGATGAATGTGTGTATCCATGTTGATATATTATTTATGATTTATTAAAGCTTTCCTGAGGATTCAGAAAGCAAAGTCAGCCACAAGCCATAGAAGCCAAGCACACACCTTTAATCCCAGCAGCCAGAAGCTAGGAGGTGGTGGCACACCCCTTTAATCCTAGGATTCAGGATAGAGGTAGATGCATCTCTGTGAGTTCAAGGCCACACTGACTACACGAAATTGATCTCAGCGCTTGGGGTCACAAGCCTTTAATCCCAGGATTCCTGAGAAAAGACAGGAGCAAGGTCTCAGTATAAGACATTCATTTTCTAGCCACATTGACAGCCCGGCCCTGTTAGAGGTAAGCGCTCTCTAGTAGCTTGGCTGCTTTGCTTCCCTGATCTTCAGCTTGAACCCCAATATCTGTACAGGGTCCTTTTATTTGCCGTGTTGCATGTGTCCACTGGGACTAGAGCATTGCAGACCAAGAAGCTTAAGGTGTGGCAAAGCAGACTTTACTCTTCTAGTGTTATCAGGGAAATGGGAGGTGGGATCCAAAGCCAACTTTAGGTGAAGGGTTTATCCTCAGAGGCCTCTAAGGCTACTGTAGCAGTTTAGAATAGCTCAGCCTTTGGTGGCTATAATGTGTCCTTTTTTATTGTTCATATAGCAGTGAGGTAACTTTGAGTAGGGGTGAAGTCTTCCTTTCAAAGGAAACAAACGCTCTTGAGAAGTGAAGCAGTGCATAGAAAGCCTGTGGCAGGAACGTGAATGTCCTTTGGACTGTGTGTTAATGTAATACAAGAGCTGGTGGGTTCCGAACTGGAGTTGGCCTTTTGAGTCCACAGCAGACTGCTCTCTTATCAACCCATTAACTCCTCAGTTATGTAATTGTCTATTTGGTGTTCAACACTTTGGGTTTCTTTATACTGTTTTGCTGGGTTTTGTATTATTTGTTCTGAGTTTAGGCTTAGCATGTAGCTCAGGGGTTGAATGCATTCCTGATAGATGCAAGGCTCTGGGCTCAACCCCCAGGAAAAAAAAAAAAAGAAAGAAAGAAAAGCAGAGCTTGACCCAAGTTTCCAGTGGTCTGTGTAGGCCAGGCGCTGTACTGAGTCATGGGACCTGGGCACCTGCTCAGAAAAGTTAACACACTAAAACACTGGAGGAAAGCCACACAGTTTGGTTATCCTCAGAAGTGGTTTACATTGCTACAGTTTTCTTCTTTTTCCTGAAACAAAGGATGCTTTACTGTTTCTTTGCAGGCGAGGAATTGCTTTGGCCTCCTTAGGGGGCCCAATATATGCAATTGGAGGGTTAGATGACAATACTTGCTTCAGTGATGTGGAGAGATATGACATTGAATCTGACCAGTGGAGTACAGTGGCACCAATGAACACTCCCCGTGGAGGCGTTGGCTCTGTGGCTTTAGTGGTAAGTTATACAGCCACTTCCCATGGAGAGGCACCAATCACATCCACTGTCAATGTGGACTGATTGACATCAGCTGTTACAGGATTGACTATACACCAAACTGCTCAGGAAACACGGACTTCCCCACATTCTGCCCAGCTGTTAGGCTGCGGATAAACCCTTTAAAATCTGATGCATGTTTTCCTTCCTTCAGAACCATGTTTATGCAGTGGGCGGCAATGACGGAGTGGCCTCCTTGTCCAGTGTAGAAAGGTATCATCCCCATCTGGATAAGTGGATAGAAGTCAAGGAAATGGGTCAACGAAGAGCAGGCAATGGCGTTAGTGAACTCCATGGTTGCTTGTATGTTGTTGGTGAGTCCATGCCATCTGTCTAATTTAACATATCAAGGGACATGATGATAAATGCCTTAAAGTAACCCAGTGACAAATGATTATCACTTGTAATCTTTTGGAGAATCAGTCCTGAGATGTGCTTTTGAGTCCTTAAAGTTGACATTAATGCTTCTTGATTTAAATTTTCATTGTTAAAACTTCTGCCTGATGTGGTGGCAGATGCACACCTTTAATCTCAGCACTCAGGAGGCAGAAGCAGGTGGATCTCTCTGAGTTTGAGGTCGCCTTGATCTGCATAGTGAGGTCCAGGCAATCCAGGGCCATACAGTGAGACCCTGTCTCAAAATAACAAAAATTCAAAAAGCAAAACTCAGATTATATCTAAAGTAGGGATGGCATTTGAATGAGACATATATTTGTAAGTGTAGAAACATAAATTAAAGGCACTTTGCTAAAACCAACCCTAAAAGGCCCAAAGACCTGTTTTCCTTCTACTTAGTTTCAAAGCAAATTACAATTTCAAGAAAGCCAGTGGCGTTTCCCTGTGAAGTATGTGTTAGTTTTTCTGTTGGTTTTTGACTGCTGAAGAGCTGAATTAGAAGGACTTCCAGAGCTAGCTGTGCTCTCTCAGATTCCTGGCATGCACAGGAACAATCCAGATGGATGGAAAGGAGACAGCTTGGTCTTCCATAACTGAACTGTGAACCAGGATGAGAATGCCCCATCAGAACTGTCAGGAGTTAGAGACAGTGCAGCCTAAGCATCTCCAGTGTGCGCAGCACAGGCCTTGCTTTTTTGTAATTAGTAATCTTCCTTACAGAGAGGCCGTTGCATCCTGGACACCAAAGTGTTCTGTTGGGTTATGTAATTTATAGCTCTTTGTAGAAGAGTGGGTTGTTATTAGTGTTCAACATTTGCAAGTAGAAGCAATGCTGAGTCTTTCTGTGCTCTTGCATGAAAAAGATGGGAAATAACAGTTAACCTCAACCTCACCTCCTTAACACTGTAGTCATTTGCAGAGACAGTGGCATGCCTAGACAGTGATAAAAGTAGAGGTTGAATTTGAGTGTGTGGAAACCAGAGTTCTTACAGTATATGGTCACACCTCCAGACTAACCATAGACAGGTCACCACCATGTGTGACATGGCCACAGGAGTGTCACTTTGCTGCTACTTATTAAGTCTTTGGGATCTTTATAGCTAAAAAGAACATCTCAGATTGAACATTAAAGCAACCCTCTTGGGAACTGGGACAGCTCAGTGGTAAAGCTTTTGCCTAGATGCAGGCTCAGTTTCAATCGTGAGCACTGAGAACTACGACACACAACCTCTTGGACATCCACATCCCGCAGGTACAACCAATGTGAATAACAGCAGTATGTTGTGCAGGCATGAGTAACAGCCTGACTGCACCTGCCTTGTCTCTGCCTTGACTTTTTCCTTCATCCCTTTGCTAGGCAAGGACTTTACTGTTGAGCTACGTCCTCAGCACTGATTCTTTCTTATTACCTAGGGAGGGTTACATGGAGCAGTAAAAAAAAAAAAAAAAAAGGTTACAGAGAATGTAACTCTAAAAACCTAACCACATTAACATGAGCAGTAACTACATTTTATTACAAGGAAAAGAATTATAGTTGTGATGAGACTGCGATGTGCATTTGCTCAAAATACATCTGGTTATGTATATAAAATTAGTGAATTTATTTCATTTTAATTGATATAATAAAATTAACCTGTTGAAGAGGTTTAATTGGCTGGGTAGGGGTAGCACATGCCTTTAATCCTAGCACTCAGGAGGCAGAGGTGGATATCTCTAAGTGAATTCCAGGACAGCTTAAGCTACAACAGAGAAACCCTGTATCAAAAAAAATAAAACAAAACAAAACAAAAACAAAAACAAAAAAAAGCACACGCACACAAACAAAAACCAAAACCAAACAAAATATCAAAAAGAAATATTTTACTTGATTTTTTAAAGCTGATCCCTTTTTAGACTTTATTGATTCTTTATGGATTTCACACCATGCATCCTGATCCTAAACCTTCATGTCTGTCCTCTGCCCTTGCAACCTCTCCTTCCCCCCACCCACCCCCCAAAAAAATTAAAACAGACAAACATACAAAAAAGAAAAAAGCCTCAGTGTGGACCTGTAGTGTGACAGAGTCACACCGTGTACCCTTTAGACTATGCATCTTTACTTGTAAGTGTTCATTGCAATGCGTCATTGGTCTGGTTAGAGGCCTCTGGCTTGTGCTACACTCTTGATACTAGGTTCTCACTGGGACTCCTCTTGGGATGTCCTGTTGCTGTTCTGTGTCATAGAGATCCTGCTGCTTTGGATCTGCGGGACCGACCCTTTTTCATGTTCTAGCAGACCATGCTGGGGTGGGCCAACTCATAGCCCTGGTTCTGGGCTTGGGTGATAGCTGGGTTGGTCAACCCGCCAGCTTTCCCTCATTGACACCACCAGGGCAAGCTCTCCAGCACTGCTGTGGCTAGCTCACACTCTACAGCAGGCAGCAAGGAGCTGGACCAGTTCTCCTGCTCTCAACACCTTCAGGGGCCAGCACCTGCACCCATACCACCAGGGCCAGCTCTGTTTTACCTAGTGGAAGTATAGTGCCTGCTCTCCTAAGTGCTGCAGTTGCTGAGATTCAGGGCCTACTCTCCTGCTATCCCAAGTGCTACAGTTGCTGAGGTTCAGGGCCTGCTTGCTCTCCCACTCTCATGTACCCAAAGCCAGTTAAGCTGACCTTATTTTTTAAAGAAATGATCACAGTAGCAATACTTCCTCCTATCAGGAAAATAGGTTGAGTCACTAAAGAGACTGCTGCTCACTTGAAGGGACCTGGAAAGAATGGAGGTTACAGTAACTGTCTGGGCATCACTCGGGAATGTGCTAAGTCATCCTCTATTGAAAAGACCTTACCACAGACTATGGGACAGGAGGAAGACATGGCTTTGACAAAATGGATGAGGATTCAGCCATAGCCCACCAGCTCAGCAGTTGTGCTGGCAAGAATGGTTTTAAGAAGAACCCTGGAATGCCGGGCGTTGGTGGCGCACACCTTTAATCCCAGCACTCAGGAGGCAGAGGCAGGCGGATCTCTGTGAGTTCGAGGCCAGCCTGATCTCCGGAGGAGTGCCAGGATAGGCTCCTAAGCTACACAAAGAAACCTTGTCTCCAAAAACAAAACAAAACAAAACAAAACAAAACAAAACAAAAAACCTCTGGAAAACTTGCACTTTTCTCTGGTGAGGTTTAGTATGTCTCAGGCCTCCCTGCTACTTAGATGGCACACAGAGAGGAAAGCCCCATCCTGCTTGCTCCTAGGAATCTCAGGCCAGATTATGAAATGTCAATCTCTCCCCATAAATCTACTTTTCTACAGCAACTCCTGCTCCTTTTCCCTTTGAGACTTTAAATCCAGACATGGTGTTATACACCCACAATCCCAGCACTGAGGAGGCTCAGGCTTCTCAGGTTTTGAAACCCATTCTCAAAACCAAGAGAAAAAAGGATCCACGCCTACTGCTAAAGTACAATGCTGACTAAATAGAGATGAATTATAGAAAACTGTAGTTGGTGGTAGCTAGCTGTTAGGGTAATTGTTTTCTGTTGTCTGTAAATCATTCTAAAATAGCTTTAAAAGCATGCAGTGGTGGCACATGCCTTTAATCCCAGTGCTCAGGAGGCAGAGACAGGTGGATCTCTGTGAGTTCAAGACCAGCCTTGTCTATAGCTTGAGTTCCAGAACAGCCAAGGCTACACAGAGAAACCCTGTCTCAGAAAACAAAACAAACAAAAAATCTTGAGGGTTTTGTTTTTTTGTTTTGTTTTTTGTTTGTTTGTTTGTTTGAGACAGGGTCAACTCTACATAGTCCTGGCTGTCCTGAAACTCACTATGTAGAGCAGGCTGGACTCAAACTCAGGGATTTGTAGGGCCTGCCTCTGCCTCCTAAGTGCTGGGATTAAAGGAATGTGCTCTACGAGGCTCAGAAAAAGCTTGAGTATTATATGCTGTTGAATTGAGATTTAGTTGTCAGTTTTTGTGAAATGCAATTCCATTTTAATGATGTTTCTTTCATAGGTGGTTTTGATGATAACTCCCCTTTGAGCTCCGTTGAGCGGTATGACCCTCGAAGCAACAAGTGGGATTATGTGGCAGCACTTACCACTCCCAGAGGTGGAGTAGGGATCGCAACAGTGATGGGCAAAATCTTTGCCGTTGGTGGTCATAATGGCAATGCATACCTCAACACAGTGGAAGCATTTGATCCAGTGCTGAATAAGTAAGTAACACACTCTTCCTCTCCTGCGGACCTCATCACTCCACAGTATTAAGGCTGAGCTCTCAGATTATCTTCTGGGATCAACCTCCTTGGGTGGATACCTGAGACCACAGGTAGAATCAAACTTGACGTGTATAGCTCTGCTTCCCCTGTCCATGCATGCTTAAGATAAAGTCCAGTGCATAAACTAGCACGGTGAAAGGTTAGCAGTTACTAATAAAATGGAGCGTGTTTAGTAGCATAACGAAATAAAATTTCCAGCATCACTGTTCTTATACTTTAGCCCAAGTTGTCTTTGGTTAGGATCCCTATGCTCTGAGGTGACTGTCTTCTTCTGCCTTTCCAGGTGGGAGCTGGTTGGACCTGTGTCTCACTGCAGAGCTGGTGCCGGTGTAGCCGTGTGTGACTGTTTAACCAGCCAGATCCGAGATGTAGGTCATGGGTCCACTAATGTGGTTGACTGCATGTGATTTAAGTCCCAGCAGCAACAATGCAACCACAGGTGATGGATGGGAAGACAGCCAGCATTTTGATTGTGACTGTCAATACTGTCCTGTTGAATGTCAGCTGTTGTATACTAAGTAAGTTCACCTTGTGGACTGATAGCTGGAGAAATGTTAGTCATAGCACTAAGTGCGCGTGGCATTTCCTGCTCTAGAAATAATGAAGTAGGCAGGAAGTAGGCTATCTCTGAACCCGTTCTTGTTCTGAAAAACATTTCATGTAGTGCCAAACCTTAAAATAACTGTTTATTTTGATGAATAAAATGTAATTTATTGACTTTTATCTGTTTTTTTTCCTGAAGATATGACTTCAGGCAGTAGATTTTTCCCAGGAGGGATAAGTCTGCTCATCAATGTGGGGACTTGGGGCCTGTTCCCTTGAGGATCACTTTACATGGTGCTGATGAATTATGTTTGCCTTGTGTCTCTAGACAATGACTTTCAGTTCTTGGGTATTTACAAAGTGGGAAAATGTGTGTTTCTGTGACATTCTTGAAACCTGTGTCTGAAAGAAGCCCTTCATTTCTATTTGGAGTTTTAGAAGGCAACCATGCTGGCTCCCTCGCCAAGTGTAGTGGCTGTTAGGGCTGTTGTTTTCTTTTTCTCCCATCTCATGCAAAATGTCTTAGTAACAGCTTAGTAACACTTTAGTCTAGTGCCCCATTGAGAGAGTTTGAAAAGGAATTGTATGAATTTGTGACCACCTAGGGAGGAAATCTAAAGGTTCCTTTATCTTTGTTCTTCAGCTTTGTTGCTGGGTTTTGGTCCCAGGACCCATTTTCTTCTTATTTTGTTATTTGTCACTGTCTTGGTTTTTCTAATTGTACAAAGCTGGATTTATTTATTATCAGGAAATGAATGCATTTTTACAGAAGCCTTTTATGCAGTATAGTTTGATGATTAGTTTAAGTTTGTCAATAAAGTACATTGTTGGTAAAAACAGAAAATGGATACTAGTTCTTCTCATTATTTAATATCTCGCAATGTATTTATTGAAACGTAATTGGATATTTCTACAAATATTCTGAAGCCCAGCATATTGATAATCCCACTGTGACATAACTCCTCTTTACTGTTTTTTATGTGTATATATGTGTGGTACATTTGTATGGGCACGTGTACACGTGTTCCCATTCATATGTGGTTACAAGATTAACATCAAAGACTTTCTAGATTGCTGTCCATCTTACTCACTGAGGTAGACTCTCAGTAGAATCCAGAGCTCATCTATACATCTGGCCTGCCCCTGACATCCCCTTCTTATTTCCAAAGAGCTGGAATTATAGTCAGGTCGCTTCACCTACCTGGCATTCATGTGAGTAATGGGGATGTGAACTCTGGCCCAGTGCCTACCAGACATATCAAACCAAAACAAACCCAAGTGCTCAAACTGGCATCATTGCCTTTCATCCAGCAAACCTTAAGGTCCACATATTAGGCTACTTCCCCCCCCCCTATTCTCAGGTTGTTTTATATGGTTCATGATAGCTGTGGTTTCTGTGTCTAAGTATCCAGCAAGTGGGAATAAAAGACTAAATAGCAAGCAGCAGAAAGACAGGAGAATATCACATCAGGCTTTCTCATTAGTTGTTCCCACCACAGGCATTTTATATCGTGGGACAAGCAGTAACCGAGTATCTTGCATTAGGAAGGTGTCTAGGATGATTTGCCTTCCATCTTCAAGGCAGCAGTCTTTTTACTCTTAGAGTCTACCCACCTGTTCTCGACACCGTAGCATCTTAACTCATGGCCTGTTGTGCTGTGCTCCTTTTCTCAGGAGGCAGAGGAGCACTTGGGTCTGAAGCGGGAGGAATGGCAACTTGAATTCCAGAGCCAGCATCTCAGGGAGGTTAAGCAGCACTCGGTGGCTTGCTAGTGTAAGCCTCTGAGCAGGTTCTGCTGGGTCAGTGTTCTCTAGTATAGCCAACTGTATTTCAGCCAGCCCTCAGAGCATTTAACCATCACACTTGGCAGACTAGCTACATCTAGCTGAATGTGAAGGACGGCTTGAAACGTGGCTGCTGTCAGTTTCTCATCTAGTAGATTGCTGGACACTTGTGGTTACTGGCATGCATGTTTTTATTGTCAGGGCTAAGGATCTTAATATATCATTTGATTATTTAAAATATTTCTCTTAGCAGACTCTTCTATGTAGCATTCTGTTATACGTAGAGAGTTTGTGTGTACTTCCATTTCTGATTTTTAATAGACAGAGGTCATCTAACATGCTGCCTGTACTCTTGCCCCTGTGAAATATGAGGTACTCATAAAAGAATGTGAGATAAAGGGAACATTGGCAGTCAGAAGCATAGCCTGAAGGGGCTGACAACAGCAGAAGAAAACAAACAGGGTCAGTAGGTAGTCTCTCTATAGGTTAGAAAAAGAAGATACGCTTTAAGGTATGAATAGGGAACGAGGAATGCATGCTTAGATGACGAGGGCGTGCACAGAAATGAGGGGTGACCTCTGGTGAGACTCCTCACATTCACCTCAGGTGGGAGCAGCACCTACCAAAAAATGCTGTGAAACAGCTAGAATATGGAGATTATGGGTGGAAAATGCACCGGGAAAAATTTTAATACAGGGTTTCTATGTAACCCTGGCTGTCCTGGAACTCACTCTGTGGACCAGGCTGACCTCATACTCAGAGAGATCCACCTGCCTCTGCCTCCTGAGTGCTGGGATTAAAGGTGTGGACCACCATCACTTAGCAGGAATGAACACACACACACACACACACACACACACACACACACACACACACACACCCTCTTTTCATCTTCAAGTGATGCACTTGCCTCCACCTCCCATGAAGCTGGGACTGTTGCACTGAACCCAGTCTCTTGTGTATTGTTTCTTCAAGACACATGTCTAGGCTCCTCTCTGTGTGGCTCCCCCCGTTTGGTCACTAAAGCCACACTTTACTGTATTGACACTGACTTTCTAAACAAATTAGCATTGTCTTTGTCTTTTCACTGTTTTATGTAACTAGTTGTTTTTTTTTTTTTTGATGTTTAAGTAGATGTTCTGTTTAACTTCTAAGGAGTATCATTCATTTCCTTAATTTCCAGGTGAACTGTGAACTTACAGTGCTGTTAAATGCCTACATAAGACATTGTTGAAGTGTACAAAATGATTTTGTAACTGACAAAATTGAGAATTTACTTTGTTGCTTCTGTTTATGTCTGACAAAAAAGAAAGTATTTAGTATCTATTCATGTTATGTTGTCGAGGAATGTTTCAGTGGATTCTCATACCAGGATTTAAGGGGTAGATAACAGGTAAATCTGTTTAAGCAGGAGAGAGGCACATGGACATGGAAGAAATTGAAGCGGGGAAGCTAACCCAATGGAAGGATTATGAAAAGCCTGTGGAAGCTTATCATCTCATAGTTAAAAACTTTAAGTGGAGGCATAGCAGAATACATGTAATATAAAAGAGGGAGTGTACTGCAGGTTCATAGATGAGCACGGTAGACTACATGCAATATAAAAGAGGAGGGGAATGCACTGGAGGTTCATAGACGAAGTGGGGATTGGACAGGGTGTGGAGGGGAGAAAAGGGAGAGGGGTAGTGGGGGAATTAACCAAAACGGAAATATGAAAATACCTTATGCAAACCCACTATGCAACTAATCTTAAAATATAATTTTAAAAGTTTGAATGGAATTGCCCTACATGGGTGGACAGTTCTGCTCCAAAAAGAAAACCTCAGTGCAGGATGCTCCCCCACCTGAGTTATTAGCAGTGAGCATTAGAGGCTCCCAAACAGTGCAAGTGGAGGTTGTGTTCTCTGGGTACCCACTGTGTGCTTTTTCCTTTACTCGTGTGTATGTACATGCGTGTCAGAGTATTCATCAAGTAATGGGAAACAAAACAAAGACACTTACTTGCTGGCACAAATTTTACATATAATATCCACTTTAAAATATTTGTAAATATTAGTTACACATTTTCCCTTTGTCTCAAGTTTAGAAATATGTGTTTGTAAAGAGTCTAATGTTTCGTGTAACTTTAGTTTTATTACAGCAAACTAGTAAGGTATTCTCTTTGGCTATTTGAAATTTCCTATTCCTTTTCTGTGTCTATGTATGTTGTATATGTACACTGAGGTTTGATTGTTGTCCATTTTAAGCAGTGTATTTTGAAATGTCTGCTTGCTGTGTCAGTTCTGTTACCTGGGTTTTGTTTACAGTTCTGGGAATCAGATCTCTAGAGCCGTGTAGTTGAAGCTGACCTAAACTGTGTGATCGTGCCTCGGCCTCCCAGGAGCTGAGTTACAGTGTGAACCAACCTCCCCAGCTCTGCATGGTCTTAGGCCATTAGTTTATAGTAATACTGCCCACAAATCTGTAGCTGTTTTGTATATTGCCCTAGTGCCACTGTTCTACTCCGCTGTTGAAGGGTGCAAAACCATACCAGCTGGTTTTTCAAGTCCTAGGACTGTGGTTTCCGTGCCCAGTGAATCAGTGCAGCTGTATACATTGAACAACTTTTGTGCCTCGGTTGCTGTGGTTCTAGAGTCTCTGTGAAGGATTCTGCATCTTCCTTGCTCTGGCACTATTGCGTGGGTGGGGGCAGTGTTAAAGGAATTCAGAAATGTTGCCAATATTATCACTAGTGTTCCACAACACCCCCCCCCCTTTTAATTTTTTGCGCTTTTAGAGAAGGCAAAAATGTAGCTCAGGCTAGTACTAAGTTCACTATGTAGCTCAGGGCAGCCTTGAACTTGCCACAGTCCTCCTGTCTCAGCATCCCCAGTGCTTGAATTAGAGGCATGCACCATCACACCAAACTGTCAATGTCCTTGTCTCACAAGGTGTTGTCAGCAGAGAGTTGCTGTTACTCGTCTAGAATCCAGAAGAAAAAAGCACTCGTCTTTAGTGATGACTCACTCAGCACCACATTCCTGTGAGGTTTGCTGAGTAGACGGAGCCTTTAAATACAGTCTCACTATGCAGCCCTGGTTGGTCTGGAACTCACTATTGGAGACTAAGCTATACTCAGACTCATAGAAAACACCTGTGTCTGCCTCCTAAATCCTGAGATTAAAGTCGTGTGCCACCACCCTTGGCTTGATCAAATACATATCCCTCCTAAAGTTTCTCAAGTGAATTTGATGATAAAGAAAAATTCAGGATCAGTATGATGATTTGGTGCAGATAGGTGGTCACTAGGAGTGTTTTTGTTTTCCCTGAATGTTTCAAGTTTGTAAGATGTTGCATTGCACCTGACATTTAGGAAGCTAACAGTATCTGTAGAGTAGCAGAGGTTGCACT